CCCCAAAACCCCAAAACCCCTAAGCTCTAATAAAAAAATATTGAGTAAGTTACGAATAGCTAGTATATAGAATGATATTAGATTGGATTTCCATAATATAAAATTTTAATTCTCCTGATCCTGATTTAATATTAAAATAATTAATAATATGAAAGTAGCATATGTATTGGCGACTCTCAAATTCCTGAATTATTGCCTCTATACTCTGATTGTCCCCTTCTTTCCCATCATATTAGCTGATAAAGGACTTTCAGAAAAATGGATTGGCTACATTTTTAGGTATATACCCTCAACTCTTAACTCCATATTTAGTGCATATCCAATGAGTAGTATTATTTTTACACCTTTGATGGGCGTCTATATAACAAAGCTAGGTAGGAAAAAAGCATTGCTTCATGGATGTGCTATTTCTGTAAGGTATTCATAAGTTTTATCATTTGTAGTGGCTTGGCTGTGTTTTATTTTTATTTGTCCGCTATATTGATTCAAAGTAAGAGATTTCATTTTCTCAAAAGCTGATTTAGAGAACTTTTGATAGGAATATCACTTTTCGCTCGCGTCCTACAAGGATTAGCAAATGCACTAACTTAGCCAACTTGTAAAAATATAAATTTAATTCATCTAGCTCAATCCATTTTGCTGATATATTATAATGGAAACATAACCAAACCGATGTCAATAATGGAAGTATCTGGTGCACTTGGAGCAACATTCGGACCATTTATTGGCTCAACTCTCAATTATTTGTTTGGTTACGAGGGTCCCTTTATTGTATTTTGTAAGGAATTATGGCTATTATTTTACAAATGTTATAGCTATTTTGTACATGTAGATATTCTCATTCATGATCACTTACATCCCATCTGATGAAAACATTCATGAAAAAAGAGAGAATATGGATAAATTACCATTGGCAAAGAGAGGAAGGGAGGAATCAGAAAACTTTGAGTTACTGATGCAACAAATTGGAAATACTCAGCAGTCTGCACTTAATTATGGCTTCAGTATGAAATCTTAAGATGTAATTTAGCCAATGATTGGTTAGAATGAAAAAATATATATGACTGACCCTGACGATGAATACTTTAATAATAAAGAATACGACTACAATTATGGAAGAAATGACTACGTAGGCTTTCATCCATTTTTTGATGATTTGCCCAAGCCGATTCATCACAAACGAAAGGAAAATATACCTCCACTAAGCAATTATCTAAAGGAATTTGATTGGATGACTACTAGTTACAGGCAGAGTTCTTATAGAAAAGGAGAAAAGATCCAGACAAGCTAGCTTCGAATATTATTTAAAAACCTTCAAGTCTTTGGAACAATTTTTACCTTTTTTGTTTCAACCTGCCTTTGGGTTTACATTGAACCTATTCTATCTTTATATTTAGTCAAGTAGTATCAATTAGCTGACTATACTACTCCACTGTTTTTCCTGGTATTCTCAGTGGGGTACCTAACCGCAACTTTTTCACTGATAAAATCCAATAGGCTGTAGACTATTTCTAGCAAAGCATAGTCTGTAGTGGCATTTATTCTTGCAGGAGTATCCTAAGTAATGATATCTCCGCCATAAGAATCTTGCAAGTAAGTTATTATTTTATTAAAGACTATTAGTGCAATTTGGTTGACGAGTTTGGGATTATTTTTATTTGGATTCTTTACTACTTTTACATTGGTACCCATTTACAATGACATGCTGCGATCACTTGAAAAACATTTTGATCTTAATAGAATGTCATTATCAGAGGTTATAGATTTATGCAGTTCTTTGACAGTATTTTTGAAAAGTGCTGCTCAAGTAATTGCTCCAATTATTGGAACATATTTATATGAATGGTATGGATTTAGCTACGTGTGCCTAATTTTCAGCATTGTCTCCATTATTTATGGATTCTTCTTAATGATAATTTTATGAGTTTCTCTAATTACCAAAGTCAAAATGAACAAATTGATCAATTTTCTTCATTCAATTAATTTCTAAGATTTAATTACAATAAATCAATAATATTAATACCTTATGGGGTTTTGGGGTTTTGGGGTTTTGGGG